CAGCACGGACTTCACCAGCTTACACGGGTTTGGTTTTTGATAGAGTGTTAGAAGATAGGCGACCTAGCCTTGCCCTGTGGCTCTCCCTCCGAGCTGGATATTCTAGGTCTAGAAGTTGACTGGGAGCAGAAAAGACAACACATTCCCCTTCAATAAACAGGTGAAGCGGGGCCTGATACGCTGCACATTTGTGCTTTAGATAGAGCCTTCTTAAGGAATGATTTTTCTTTAGTTGTCATGCATTTCCGCTCAGATTTTAAAATGTGTAGGAGATCCATAACACATCTCAAACTCTGATCAAGGGCATCCTTCAATTTATGCCTAAGCAAGCCTTTACAAAAACCCTGATTACACTTCAAAAATATTTGTAGAGACTTTCCTTTTTACTTCTATAGGCAAAAGTATCTGATGAAATAAAGACGCTGCTATACATCTTAGATCATCAAATGACAACTCTATCTCCATTCAGAAAAAAACTAATCCTTTAAAAATTGGTTGGATATGGATACAGACAAAATTGTTTACTAGAATGATCTATTTTTTTATTATTATTATTATTATTATTATTATTATTATTATTATTATAAGTGATTTTTTTTTCTCTGAGGACTCAGCACAGAAGGGAACAAGTGGTAGTACTTGAACTACCAGAGGAAGCCAATCCTCGTTTAATTATTAGTCAGAAAGAGAGCACAGTTGCTCAAATCCCTTTGGAAATGCTGTTTTCATAGAGCTACTGAGCTCTGAACCAAAATCTGTTCCCTCACTGAAACAATTTTAATATTAATTCAACACTATTCTCATTAGGCATCAGAAGGAAAGTGGTATGCCATACAACACTGTATTTCTATGCATTTCAAACACTCTCCTCTCCTACAAAAAGAATGCAGACATGGCATTCGCATCCAGTAATCTAACTGTTTGCGCAGTAAGAATTTTGTTGAGCATCAGAACTTAGCTGCATGAGCTATAAGCAATCCCATGTGATGTTGCACTGAAAAAAAAAATACAAAGACTCTAGAAATTGTTGTGTGTGTCCTTTTTTCTGCTTGTAGAGAGGTTGACAAAAGTATAAGGACAGAACCAAGCAAAGCAGAAAATATATTTCTCTGCCTTTTTTTTTAAAGGGATAGAAAGGTTTTTTCTTCTTTTTGCATTTTGCTCCAAGACCTGACCATACAAACAAGCACAGAGACATGTCATCAGTTTGAAATTTAGTCCCATCCAATTGGCATAGGAATAATTACAGCACAAGAAAGATCATGGTTATTATGTACAAGCAGCTGGAACCAATAAGAAAAGCATTATATGGCACTGTAGATTTTATTCTTTATCTTAAGACTCAAGTAATTAAAAATAGGGTGGTTCTATTTTAGAAAGAGAAGAAAATTCTATTTATCCACTAAGTAAGTACAGCACAGGGAAGTAGCAGTCCAAACTTCTACATACTGCCCTGTCAATATACCTCAAGTATACCCTGGTAAAATGTAATTTTTATTCCCATTCTATTCTGGGCCTGTCTGCAGAGTCTGCTACCAAGCATTTCCATTAGCGGTGGTGGTCTTGGGGATCTGCATAACTGATAGAGACTTTTATTTAAATCAAAAGGATGAAAAATCAGTACAGGCTGTTGCTGGGTTCAAGTCAGGTACAGAGGTGAAAGACACTAATCACTATTCCTCTTCTTTGCTTTGGAGCCCTTTCATCCAAGTACTAAACAAATCAAATCTGAATCAGCTGAGTTCAGAAGTCAGACAATTCTTCATTTATTTCCTGGAGTCCCAGACAAGACAGCAGGTTACTGAAGTACAAATCAAAATCAGGTCTCCTGGATAACAATGTATCACTATATGATTTAAAAAAACCCCAAATCCATTAAAATGATCATTTATGTTTTTGTTTTGTATAAAATCTGTGCAAACAAATCATTAGGCAAGTGAACCATTGCAATCAGAGGAAGAACCTCAGATATATTCAAGATCTCAAATAATCTAAAAACAGTACTAAATAAGCACAATCAGCTCTATTTGCAAAGAAAGTTGTCAGCCAAAACTGCAGATATTCAGAGAAGAAAAAAATCTGCAAAGCAGCCAACCATTTATTCTATTAGTGATTAACCAAGTGGCAAGAATTACTTGCACATAACAGAAGTGTATTTGTTAGATTATATAACTTTTGCTCAGCTATGATTGTAAGAAAGAGCCTTATAGTTACCTAGCATATACCCTGGAGTATGTTATTTAAACAAACAAACCATATTAACCCCCAGAAGCAGTTACACAATGCAACAGTCATTTGCAGCTAAAAACCCCCCACATTTATCACTTTAAATGTAGGAGTGTAACATTCAGAGCATCATGCCCAAGTTTAATCTTTCTGAAATCAAAAAAGACGACTGCTACTTCAGTACATTTAAATCTTCCAAAATAGCATATTAAGAACTATTATTCAAATGAGGTATAGACATTAATTTCCAGTTGGGAATACGAATATACTTAAGTCAAAATTTTGAGTAGACTAGGTAGTGTAAGAGATGCTTTAGTTGCAATGATCCAGAAAGTATGCAAGAGGCAAGAAGTGGATTAGGAAACGTTAAGTAAAAGATGAATACCAAAAACAATGGCTATCTTGAGAAAAAAGGTCAAACAGATAGTAAGACTCATCTGCATCCCCTTACCTTACATCCCACACACCCTACTAAAAAGAAATACATCTACATCACTTAGTTTGTAGTTTCAGTCTGAGAAAGCCGAGTAACTGAAAACCTGGGATCTGAATCTGTAGTTGCATTTAAGTCTGACCGACAAAAAATGCACATTCAATTTTAGCAGAGAGGATTAGTGACTATGTATTAGTGACACAGGATCTAGCAATAGTTTTCCTTAACATGTGAAATATTCCTCCATAACACATAAAAGGGTACACTTCTGGCATTAGTCTATTTTAATTGATGATGCGCAAAACCTCAGGTAACAGAATCTGCCTAGAATTAAAAAGTGAAGACGATAGTAATGAAACGCACCAAGTTTACTTTGGTATAATTTTATTTGCCCTAGGGGGAGAAAAAACAAAGTGTAACACACAACAAACCATACCCATGTCAAAGGTCAGATTTAAACATTAATAAAAGCACACAAAAAATTGAGAGGTAAAACTCAGTTGCCATCTATAAACTTACCTGGGGGTACCTGTCTGTCTATGCTAGTAAAAATGTCTCTGTGGTAGCAGAGAGAGTGATCAGACCAGAAATGCAACAGCAAACTGACATACATTTAGAGAAGAGGAAAGATGGAAAAGCTTTAATGGGAATAACTCAACACTTTTTTTCATAGCTGATGGACCTTTGCAAGGAGCAGAAAAGACCTGAAGCCTTCACAGGCCACAGTGCCCTCTGGTACCCTAGGGCGCTTGTACATGGGACAGGCATCACGATGTACATATGATGAAAATTTAATTTATGTGGCTTAATGGTGTCACACATTACATGTGCACCTGTTTGGGGGTTTTAAATGAGCTTGCATCATTTCAAACTAAACTACATTCAGATGTAGTTTAGTTTGCAATTATGCACTGCAGCTGTCAGCTCATCCCTGGCTGCAGGAGGGGCAGGCAGGCTCCACAGAAAAAAAAGGATCAGGCCCCTTGCTGCTTCTCCTTTCATCATGTACCTGTTGAAGGCAGAAGTGACAAAGAGCTCGATTCTTCCCCTTCCCCCCACCAACGGAGCCTGCCCACCTCTCCCATGGAGAGGGGCCAAGCTGCTGGTGGGTTGAGTGGATGCCAAGTGG